TTCCGAGTTTGTCCTCGCGTATAATGAATGATGAGAATCTGATACGTTCACTCCTTCACGTTGTTCATCTTTGCCAGTCAAGCATATAGATGCAGAGATATTAAATTCAGTCGGAACCACAGGTAAAGATTGCGGGCTACTCGCGGATTCAAGCGATTCTATATTTTCCGTTGCAGTGAAGTAGTCTACGGCCAATTTGGAATCGGACACGCTACTCTTGGGCGCAGTTTCAATCTCCGGTACGTTTAAGATGGATTTACTTCGTTCTACATTCAGTTTAGAATCAGAATCCAATTTTTGAGGTAGCTGTGTTACAGGACTAGCATCGATCAAACGAGAATACGGTACATCTTTCATATTCGGCCCACTGTAACACCGAAAAGAATTTTGTAAATACATTTTCCGCAAATAGATAATTCCAATTAATTATATCTTTTTCGATCATTTTTATATTATGCTATTTCTTCTTTTTTTTTTAATTTCCACAAGTAACACTACTTCAGCTTTATTAGCGATATAAATTAACGAAACAAAAAAAAATGCATATACTTCTATTCTGCAAAATATCTAAACTTTAAATTCTCTTGTTATTAATAATTGAATAAAATATTGTCTAGAGATTAAATCATATATCAAAAAAGAAACAAAATATATATAATAGTATGTTCAGAAATGTTTAAATAATTAAAAAAAGACTGCTACAAATCTTGATGATTACCGCATTGATGTATAGGAAAATCTTCTGTCCAACGGTTTCCTGTCGCCACTAGGTATCAATGGACTTGCAGATGCAACGTTTAATTTTGTACTAATATTTTCTTCCTTATTATAATCAGTAACAGACTTTGGACGCTCGACACCTTTCTTCGTAATTTGCGAACCATCTTGACTAAGTGTTACTTTCAATCCTGTCATAGGATAACATACATCTTGCAAAGATATATCTTGCAAACTGTACGGCGGTGTGTGGAATATCAATTGCCTATCGTGTAAAATAGATTGTCCAAATCCTTTCTCTTTACCAGGCTCATGAATTCTGAAAATACAATAAAAGTAGATTAAAAAGATATAAAAGTAAGGCTCTTACACGATTAAAATCAAGTAAAATCCGAGTAAAAAGGCAAAAGAGCCACGCGCAGTTTTTAGGGCGCAAAGGTATATAATTTAAACCAAAAAATAAATTAAAAAATTAGAGAATTTCTTTAATTACATGATTCGCGAAAGGCGGACGTTTCGGCCCTTTTTTTGGCCATCATCAGCGCAAATAATACTAAACTCAACAATATAAACGGTATACAGAAAGAAAATTATATACCTTTAAATTATATACCTTAATTATAATTTATATTATAATTTATATTAAAACAGAATATTCCATTATTTATCGACATTAAGTTTCTAAGTCCGGACATGTTCGATATAGCAAGAGGAAACAAATATCCACCTGTAGGCGGCGATATTGATACCATCCTGAAGATCTTGATAGCTCGGCTTGAAAAATTTCGGTCCGTTTCGATTATTGCCAAAAAATACGCAGCCTCCTATACAGCCGCACTTTGTCGCCTTTACCCCGCTCTCCTGCATCCACAAAAACCACAAACGTTTTGTCGCCTCGTCGTGCATCTTTAGATATTTATTTTGTACTAAGTGCAAATTGTGCTCCGGAGCTGGAAGGGAAATCGCGGCTTCTAAAATAACCGGACCCAGAGATATCGATCCCACCTCAAGCCATATATCTGATCCATCACCTATATTGCATGTGTATAGAGAAAAAAATGTGTTAAATTTTTTTTTACTAACCAGTGAACTGGTAATGACACATATATGCGCCTAAAATTTTTGTGCCGAAACTGGTAATGACGCATATATGCGCACATTGAATAACTCCGATAAATTTCGATGGATCTGGATAAAACTTGGTATCCTAGAGTTTTTTGGATCGCTGAATCGGAATCTGAGCTCAGGAACTACAAATTCGTCATCGTTCAGTTAATATGGCGCCCAAAAATGCTCTCTTTAAACGGTTTTCGAGACGGTGAGCCGAAGTACAGCTCAAAAGCGAAAAAAATACCCGCTATTAGCTGGTGACCATGAAATCACGACCTCAGAGTGTGCCACATGGAGGCTGCGATGGGATTTTACACTCCATTTGTTGCGAAAAATTAGGTTCTTTTTGGACGTATTGTTTCAGAGATGCGCGATATCAAAATTACGACTCCGGATTCGAAATCAGCAACCTCAAAAACGATTGTACCGATTTTTGAAACGTAATCGATCTTACCAGTTTTGGCACGGAAAACGGCTTACCAATTAACTGGTTAATTAAAAATTAAAATATATTCATGTTTACACATAATTTAGATTCATAATCACAGATACATACGAAAAATACCTGACATCCGACTGCTTGCATTATTATGAGATCTTCCGCTGCCTGTTGTATTAGTATTACTTGTATTCGCGAAGTAATCTGCCGCGGATACAAACTGTCGAATCGATATGGTAGGTAGAACAGCGGTGACGCCTGATTTGACTTGGTGCCCATGAAGATTACAAGTGGCAACACGAATCGGAGATATCCAGAATTGTATGGCAGTACCTGCTTCTTGTAGATATAAATCAATAGCGTCTATAGATAGTCTCGTCATTCGATATTTTATATCCTCGGAACTCGGGCATCTAAACACATTGAAATTTAACTCGATGATAAGTAAATATAATATAGTAAAAATTGTCAAGAGACAATTTTTCTATATATTCTTTTTTTGTCTTTATTATATGATACTAAAGATGGAAAGGATATACCTGTAATGTTTATCGACATCGCTCTCTGGACATTGTAGCGGAGGAAGGCCGTGGTGACATTGAAATGGTAAATCAGGTGGACGTAGACTGTTTTCGGTATTTTTCGCCATCAACAGAAAGGTTTCCAATGATGTAACAAAGTGGTGTAATTGAGGAGAAGTGATCTTTCCGCTTAATTTGCCCAATTGCACTTCAATCAACCACGCGTACTCCAATGTTTCCTGATCCAAACTCCTTCCCTCGTTGCTGAACATAGCATGCCCTCTGACTTGCAGCGCGCTTAACATCAAATGTCCTTGATTTAAATGGTGTTCTTTGCTCGATCTCGCCACATTATCGGTAAGTAGAGCAATTGCGGGAGAGAGCAATAACTGTAGTTGTGTTTCCTTGTAACTCTTTCTCATTTCGAATCCAAAGCGTTCTAGGATTATAATCGGACACAACGGGTCGTTTTCATTACAATTCTTAATTAAATGGGCTTGAATGTCATGCATAGTAACACCGACGGTCACTTCTAAGGATCTGTAATCTCTCGGATCAAACGGCTTGGATTTTAATTCCTCATCTTCCACAGATGCCTCAACACTACTGTTTTGTGCATCCTTATCCTTGCTTCTTTCCGCGTTACTCGGTGTCGAACTCGCTCTACTTTGTTGCATATCGGTAAACGTTTGATAATCACCAAATATGTTTTCTTTCAAGTGCATGAAGTTTTTTAACAAAGACCCGTATAAAATCAATACGGATGGGCCGATTTCAAGTTCCACGCTAACTTTATCAGGCGTTATGGATTGTGGATCAAACTTTTGCGCGCCGCTTCTTGCCCACTGCAAGCCCGGTGATTTTCTACATTTAGGAATTCGCATAGGAGACAAAAGAATTTCCTCCTTTTCTGGAGTTGTTATATTAGCTTGCGGAGTAGGACCCAGGGGTGGGCATAAATGATAAGTATAGTTGATACTCAATGCTACGATTGGTACAGACCAACAATCGACCCAGCCCGATTCTTTTTGACAAAAATTCCTCCATTTTTTACCTCTGTTCAATTCGTGCAAATGCTTATGAGTCCCATCGCGCGTCATGATCTTCGCATTCTTATCTAGTGCTAGTAAAATAATACGATTGGTATTAACCTCCGGCAAATAAAACGAAAGATCAACGCTTTCTCCTTGAATCCAAAACCGCAACGGTATCGTAACAGGCAGAAAGTCCACGAATGGAAGATCAAACGACAGATCAAAAAATTCCCCACAGAAAGCAATGTGCGTATTCTCTTGGTTCTGGGACGAGCAATCGATCCAATTGTATTCATTGCAGACTGTAATTAGTTCAAACTCCTTCAAGAGTAAATTAAATTTCCAAGTGTATGGAACAAAGTGTAAAATGTCGGGTCTTGCCTTGCTCGCCCAGTCGTTAATCATATCTTGAAAGAAGTCTTTGTGCAAATAGACTAAATTAGCAGTAGCTTTACATCCAGTTAAATTCAGTGTCCACTCTTGATGATCATTCCATCTGATGGGATAATGACACTTTACTCCAAATTCCAAGGTCTCACTTTCGACCAGACTCCGATATTGTAGACTAGTCGTGGCCTCCAAATGTAGAAGCTGACCTGTTATCTTTGTCGTATACCCGTCCTGTAATACTATCCATGGCATTGTAATTTCCAAATACGATCCTGGCCCTATGTTTACATGAACGGCATTGGTTTCTCTATTTTTACTGAAAAGTATATCGATTGTCGCTTCATTCAACGTCGATAATCTAATGTCGAACGATTGAACCTGTCTTTTATCTCCTGGTTTAGGTGATTTCGTAACCTTTAACGGTTGGTAATTGTTGGGAAAGAAGAATTTAAATAGATGCTCCCGTTGCCTATCAGCCCATGGACCATAACTGAAATCCGTGCCCTTTCCACATTTGATATCAATACCCCATATGGGGGGCATCGCTTCAACCATATCTCCGTTCACCAATTGTATCATTTCAGGATGTTCTGGTACAACGCCAGGTTCGTCCATATAATAATAAACTTCCATATGGTTCGAACTTAAAACTACAAAACCTTCTCCCATATATCTAGGTGGATCATCAACCATACCAGTGTATTTCGGACTTGGTGCTAAAATAACTTTGAAATTCTCTGCCTTACACTTGGTAAAGTGCATAAAATGATCGTGCCTAGATGCCGCTGGTTTCGTGGAATATACAAAATGCGCTTCCTCCACAGTTATAGATAATGTAGTTGGTACTAAACGATTACCAAATACCAGTCTTCCCTAAAAAAACAAAAACATATATATTACAATATTTTTAAAAAGTTTGCTCGTGAATAGAAATACAAAGCAGAATTAAGGCAAGGTAGAAAAAATATTGCTGTCACTAACTGTGCAAATATCTAATTTAATAACTGGTATCAGATCTCTCCAAGTACGCGCAATCACATGAGCTTCCTTCTTTCTAATATTATCCACATGACGAGATACATCCATTGCATTGATCTGTGAATGACGAGTTTCATTAGCTGCATTATTTAAAGACTCCCCGTCCCGATCATCAATGTTTATATTGTGATCATCCTCATCAGGAAACATTTGCGGAGTAAGACCAAAAGATTTTTCCAATTGTGTGTAAAGTTGACAGCGATTGTAGACATGTAATTCAAACCCATTCAGCATAACTGACAACCGTGTATCAGAGTGTGAAAGATCTATAAAATAAAAAATTTTAATTATATTTTTAATTTTAATTATATGCTACTTTTGTTTTCAGATTTATTATATTAAATATTGAAGAGAGTATTTACCTTCTGATACATCTTTGGGGACATAGCTTCTCCACCATCTAAATATAAGCCAACCATCCTGGATTCTAAAGCTATAATCCATTGTAATATAAACTATATCCCTAAACATTATTTTCCCACTTAAAGCACTTAATGTGAAGGAACCTGCAAAGCAAAAATAAAATAAATACTTTGAAATAATCCAAGAACAATTATGTGTTCTTACCAACTTTAACATATCCATCTCTAATAACAAATCGATTTAATAATTTTGTTAATATATAACCAGCCACTCTGCTATTGTAATAAGCAATATAAACAATCCAGAATATTGCAGATACTAATGAACATAGCAACCATATAAAGTTGCTGTCCATTTTAAGGTCATCCAGGATGACATGATCAGAATAATTCCAAAAAGCTGGTTCAATTCCAAAAAAAGATGAAATAGTAACATTGGTTGCTTCATTTTCTTCCATGATGGTATTATTCTCTTCTGTCTCTTGAATTAGGAGTTGTTATTCATAGCACATTTTATGTACTCTGAAATAATAGAAAAAGATCTACTTAATACATTATAGTGTATATATATATATATATATATTTAAAGTATTGAAAATTTTATTATTATTATCTAATATCTATAGTGAATTCATGTTGTCTAAATTATCATCATAACTTATATATTCGTAACAACTGTATACAAAAATATGATATCTTTCAACACATGCAATTAATAAAATTTGTCATATCAATGTTAAAGTATCTGACATATATCGCGAGAAATTGAATATGTCTATGTATATGTCTAATAAACAAGTTTGATAAATTGAACAGCATTGATGTATTTATTTATTTGTACAACAAAAAAACAATCTGAAATTTTTTCCTTTAAAAATAATTCGCCGCAATAGAGTAACGATCCTCTTTGCGCAAGATATGTGGTTATCTATTTAATGCAAACGACATTTTAATTCGATGATTTACCTTTGTTAGTCACTCGGGTATAAAGTGCACATTGAAATTTTGATGTGCGAAATCTCTCTTTCATGTTTTTATGTTTATCATTACAGTAAACCTGGAATGAGATATCAGAAAATTGTCATTACAATGAATAGTAACGAATAGTGACACGCATAACCACTGACATTGAATTCCATAGATATAAAATATGTAGACAAAACCCGGAACCATAGACATAATATATCTAGACCGAGTGTTGAGGAGTGGGGGTAAAGATGCACGTAGAAAAGGACACACTCTGTTTTGTGCCCCTTGCCACCGACGAGATATTATTAAAGACCGTCAGGCCTGGGTAAACTTTTGTGACCATCAAGTGGGCCCGGTGGGCCCGGAGGTAATTGAAGAATGTTGACATTACCGGCCGTTTGATTAGATCGAAGATAATTACACGAATTATTTAATTCATACGGTTATTTCGGTTATTTCAGTTATTATTTTATTATCGAAAACACCGACGAGATATTATTAGAGACCGATGGTCTTAGGGTGCGAACTCATGCAGCGGAATAGCATAACGCGAACGAGAGCATGACCAATCGCGAGCGTTCTACAGTTTTCGCTACGCTCACGATTGGTCCGCTCTTGTTCCGCGTTACGCTTTTCCGCTGCCATGGGTTTGCAAAATGACTGTGATTGGCCAGCCTTCGAACTACGGATGTTATTAAACCCGATTAGGGTTGACGTGTAAACGTAGTCATTATTAGAGACCGCTGGTCTTATAGGATTTAGCATATTACTGGAAAAAACTCGCCACGCGGTACTGTAGGTAAGTAAATCTTTGCATTGTCGATAATAAAACAATAACTGGATGAACTAAAATAACGCATAGCGAGTTTTTTTTTCAGTTACACTAAATCCCATAAGACCACCGGTCTTTAATGATATTTCGTCGGTGCCCTTGCGTTCTCTCTTGCTCGCACGTAGCATGGCGAAAGAGAGCGCTATACTACGTGCGAGCGAGAGAAAACGCAAGGGGCACGAAATAGAGTATGTCCTTTTCTACGTGCATCTCCCGGAACTCTAATAGCGTTTTCGAATGTAGCAGGTTTAATCGCTCTGAGGGTGCCATTACATGGAGCGCGGAAACGCGGATTAGCGTAACGCGGAACGAGAGTGAAACCAATCGCGAGCATTCTGCAGTTTTTGTTACGCTCGCGATTGGTTCCCTTCTCGTTCCGCGTTCCGCTAATCCGCGTTTCCGCGCTTTATGTAAGGGGTCGTTCCCACTGAGCGCGTCTCGCGTCGCGTCATGCGTCGCGTTACAAGGTAACCAATCAGAACGTCTGTTTTATTGCATCATCTCCGACGCGACCTTCTTGCGCGACGCGTCGGTTTGGTTCGTTTGGTTGCTCGACATTCTCGCGTTTGCCATAATAACATAATTTCATACATACATACTATACTCACTCTGTTTCAATCGTAGGTCTCCGATATTTAATACACTGTTTTAGGTCATATACTGTTTTACAGAAAACAGATAATCAGATTTGTACTATATTTTAATTTAAAGGTTATGTTTACGTTTATTGCAACCAATAACCTGGCGAACTAGTACATTCTGCGCATGCGTTGATTTGCCGCGACGCGTTCAGTGTGAATAACAAAAAACACCATGTCTTGAACTTGCGTCGTGACGCGACGCTTGACGCGCTTAGTGAGAACGACCCCTAATGGCACCTGAGGGTGCGAACCCATGCAGCGGAATAGCGTAACGCGGAATGAAAGCGGAACCAATCACGAACGTTCCGCAATTTCGTTCCGTTTTCAGTAGTTTCTAGCGGTTAGCGTAACGCGGAACGAAAATGGAACCAATCGCAAGCATTCTGCAGTTTTCGTTACGCTCGCACTTACTTATCCGCGTTTCCGCGCTCCATGTAATGGCACCCTAATCCGGCCTAAGACCGGATTCACACCTTGGCAGAAAAGCAGAAAGCAGAAAAGCAAAGGCCAATCAGAACTCGCGCTAAAAAAGCAGAATGTACTGCTTATTTTCAGCGCAAGTTCTAATTGGCTTCTGCTTTTCTAGCACGAGTTCTGATTGGCTTCAGCTTTTCTGCTTTCTGCTTTTTTGCCAAGGTGTGAATTCTCCCTAAAGGTGCGAACCCATGCAGCTGTTACGTCTCGACAATGCTCTTTTCTTACTATACCTCAGTTAGTGAGAAAAGAATAGCTCTCTTTTTTTTATAGGGCAACCTGCTTCCATCGGCTATACCCCAGGGACGCCGAGAGCTAGGACTGATCTGGTGGATTCTAGGGGAATGACGTTAGGCACGTAACTAATCTTTAGGTGCCATTACATGGCAGCATCGAGCATCGAGCGTCTGCGCAGAAATCATTGCATCTTCAGGGTTTTCAAGCAGGGCAATTAGTTAATCTATATCCAAATTGCCGTCTAGAAAATCGGTAATAAGTCTAGTGATTAAAGTTAAGATTTGCTCGCGCATGCGACTTACTATGGCTTGAACTTGCTCATCAGTATATAAAGGTTTAATTATCCGAAAATTAATGGAACATCTTGCATTGCTGATTAATTATGAATCTAAATATCTAGCGTATTCATCTATTTTTAAGTGTTCTTCAGGCAATTGGTCTTTTAACTGAGAAATCAAGTCCCGGGGAGTTGTTTGATTTTCGTCACGATAACTTTCTTTAAAATGATTTATATTTTGATACAATTCGTTTAGTAATATGAATTCAGGTGTATAAGTGAAAAGACCGATAGGATCGCTTATGCAAGGAACTTTAGTAATTGAATTGCTTTCAAGAGTTTCCGTTGATGTTTTTCTTTGAGAATCTTCTTGAATGTCTTTTGGGGGTTTATGAGAATATTTTAACCGATTTATAGTATCTGGAGACAAAGAGACCTTTTCACAAGATATTACTCGAGGTTTATTTTTACTATGTAGTCGGTTAAGCCGAGTAGACGAAAGTTGTCTAGGGCACGGTATGTGCTCAGTAGACGAAAGTTGTCTAGGGCACGGTATGTGCTCAGTAGACGAAAGTTGTCTAGGGCACGGTATGTGCTCAGTAGACGAAAGTTGTCTAGGGCACGGTATGTGCTCAGTAGACGAAAGTTGTCTAGGGCACGGTATGTGCTCAGTAGACGAAAGTTGTCTAGGGCACGGTATGTGCTCAGTAGACGAAAGTTGTCTAGGGCACGGTATGTGCTCAGTAGACGAAAGTTGTCTAGGGCACGGTATGTGCTCAGTAGACGAAAGTTGTCTAGGGCACGGTATGTGCTCAGTAGACGAAAGTTGTCTAGGGCACGGTATGTGCTCAGTAGACGAAAGTTGTCTAGGGCACGGTATGTGCTCAGTAGACGAAAGTTGTCTAGGGCACGGTATGTGCTCAGTAGACGAAAGTTGTCTAGGGCACGGTATGTGCTCAGTAGACGAAAGTTGTCTAGGGCACGGTATGTGCTCAGTAGACGAAAGTTGTCTAGGGCACGGTATGTGCTCAGTAGACGAAAGTTGTCTAGGGCACGGTATGTGCTCAGTAGACGAAAGTTGTCTAGGGCACGGTATGTGCTCAGTAGACGAAGGATGTCTAGGGCACGGTATGTGCTCAGTAGACGAAGGATGTTTAGAGCACAGTATGTGCTCGGTAGACGAAGGAATCGTATGGGGATGATGGGAGAGTGTCGATCCGGGTGAAACAATGCTTGATAACGATGGAAATTCTGGACAAGGGTAGAGTGTCACCAGGGCAATAAAGCTCGGCAACCGGGTTTCAAGGGTTGGACCACGTCCGAGTGACAACAGCAGAATAGCCGCTAAGCAAAATCTAGATTTGGCGAATATTGATAATAATAATAGTAAGAATAATAGGGATGTTTCAAATGATTGCAGGAAGATAGATTGTGGATTATTAAAGTTGACTGACTAGGAAACTGTCAGCAACGTGCAAATGAGAGATTCCACAGAGAGAAAAACCGTTTGCATTTGAACCCGTGACCCACACTGTTATTTATCCTTGTTACGGATAATATTCGTTCACGATAACTACATGAGGAGTTTCCGATACGGATTACAGCACAGCTAACCATTTGCTTGCGGATTGTTAACAAACGGCAAACAATTCCCTGTCGAACGAGGCTGCCAAATTCAGGGCCTACTGTGTCCTCGAGTGGGCCCCAATTGCAACCAAAAGTTGAAATCACATCCTGATGTCAAATTGGGTACAACACCAGAGCAGATCTGTCACTAGCAGTGCAACGACAGATTGACGCAACAAACCGAGAGCATGTTTGTCAACCGCAGACCGACAACAGATTTGCGCCAAATGCCCAGCAGATCTATATGCAGAAGCGACGGCAGATTGGCATCAAACGCACAGCAGATCTGTATTCAGAAACGACGACAGATTGGCGACATATCTATCGAACCTAAGGCTCGTTTTCACAGTCGTGATTCTAACTGAGAATCGGTATGAGCTAGACTCTAGCCGGATTTCATACTGAGGTAGCATGCTACGTGCACCTTCGATTGAGTTTAGGTGAGAAACAATGGCACTGCTTTTCACTTCAACTAATCGAAGCTACACGTTGCAGGTAGCATGCTACCGATGTGAAAGCCAACTAAAGCCTATATAGCTTAAATTGATTCTCAGGTAGAATCACGACTGTGAATACCCTGCCGAAAATGGTCGATTAAAACCGATTAAAACATAATCCGTTTTAATCGGTTCAATCCGCGCCTGGATTAAAAAGTAATCGATTTTAATTCCGAACGAACTATAATCGGTTTTAATATCGCTTTCGCGGATTATTTCCAATCTGAAATCATTACATTCTAATCCATATTGTTGTCAATCCAAATAAACACGAATAATCAAATGGATATTGTGGCTGCCGTAGGTCGTCACATTAAGCACAATCCGCGATACAATAGTGCGACCCGCAACTTGGCGGACACGCGCTGATCTGTATTCAGAAACGACGACAGATTGGCGACATATCTATCGAACCTAAGGCTCGTTTTCACAGTCGTGATTCTATCTGAGAATCGGTATGAGCTAGACTCTAGCCGGATTTCATACTGAGGTAGCATGCTACGTGCACCTTCGATTGAGTTTAGGTGAGAAACAATGACACTGCTTCTCACTTCAACTAATCGAAGCTACA